ACAGCATTGGCTAGAAAGAAGGGAACGCTTTCTGGATGGACTTAGACTTTACTTCTTGGCTAATGGCTGCTGCTTCACATCAAGTAGTTCCCAGTGCTTTTGGTTAGAATTGGCTTTGATGTTGAATACCTTACAATTTTAACTGCTTTGCTGGTAATCTTGAGCTTTTCCACCAACAGAGATAACACAAGAAAATCTCTATTTACTCTGAAACCTAAACCAAGGAACATAGGAAAATCTTATGAATGTTATGAGAGAAAAAAAACCTTCCAAAATACAAGTCACAATAACATGCTATTGCAATATTTCTGACTTCTTCAAAATTGTTACTATAGAGCAGATGTAGTGTAAGAGGTTTAATGAGAGAGTATGATCAAATTATGGAGAAGATTATTATAGTTATCAAAAAACATTTGAAAGACTGCACAGTCACTTGTCACAGCCAACACAGGTTCACAAGGGAGAAGTCGTTAAATTCAGTTTCCTTTTATGACAGGGCTAATCATCTAGTTGACCAAGACAAGTTAGTTGACGTAATGTTTTCAGATTTCAGGAAAGCTTTTGATACTGTTCCTCACAGCATCCTTCTGGACAAAATGTTCAGCATACAGCTAGACAAATACAAAATGGGATGGGTGAGCAATTGGCTGATGAGGTTACATCAGCCTGGCAGTCAGTCATTAGTGGGGTTCTGTATTTCAGGGCCAGTTCTCTTTAACATTCTCATAACTGACTTAGGCTATTATATTAGACTAGAAAGTACAGTAAATAAATTTTAACATGATGCTAAATTGGGATGAGCTGTTGATTCCCTCAAAGGGCAGAGAGGCCTTGCAGAGGTCTTGAATAATTAGAGGGCTAGGAAATAATCAACCCCATGAGTTTCAACAAAAGCAAGTGTCAGATTCTGCACCTGGGGCAGGACAATCTGGATGTATATACAGACTGGAGAATAAGAGGCTGGAGAGCAGCCTGATAGAAATGGATCTGCAGGCACTGGTTGATGGCAAATTGAACATGAGGCAGCAGTGTGCCCTGGCAGCCCAAAGGGCCAACCGTACCCTGGGGTGCCCCAGGCCCAGCACTGCCAGCGGGTGAGGGGAGCGGCTGTCCCCTCTGCTCTGTACTGTGTGGCTTCTCCTACAGCACTGGGTGTGGTTCGGGTGCCACAATATAAGGAGTACCTAAAGCAATGATAGAGTATCCAAAGGAGAGCTACAAAGCTGGTGAAGGATCTAGAGGACAAGGCGTGTGAGGAGTGGCTGAGTCTCCTGGGTTTGTTCAGCCCAGAGCAGAGGAGCTGCGAGGCCTGATGACAGCTGCAGCTCCTGAGAGGGAGTGGAGGGCAGCGCTGAGCTCTGCTGTGTGTGACAGCGACAGGGCCCAGGGCACGGCATGGAGCTGTGCCAGGGGAGGGCAGCTGGGGGGTGGGGACAGGGTCTGCACCAGAGGGTGGTCGGACCCTGGAACAGGCTGCGCAGGGCAGTGGTCACAGCCCCGAGCTGCCGGCGTCCAAGGAGCGTTTGGACTGCGCTCTCAGAGGTGGGGTTTGGATTTTGGGTGGAGCTGTGTGGAGCCTGCAATTGGGCTCAGGGGTACCTGTGGGTCCCTTCCAACTGGGGATATGCTGTGATTCTATAATTCCATGATTAGATGAGCTCTACAGCCTTTTTTAGAATTGTCTGAAAAGTGGCTGTTCTTTTTTGCTTGAAAGTGGTAATTATGCTTTTGATGCTTTGCAGTAAAAGTATATAGATTGTGTAGATTTTCCTTTGGTGATAAATGAGTACAGATCTCCAGTTGTGGGAGGAGCAGAGGTTTTTAAAATACTTACTAGAACGGAGTTTTAGATGAAATAGCTTACACCTTAGGTTACTTATACTGAAAGATTGGCCTTTTCATCACATACCCTGTTCATTGGCAGAATAGATTTGAAAGATCCCCATAATATTGTACATTTTTTTGTTTTACCTTTATTTTGAAATAATGAAACAGTGTAAACCTCCTTCACAATTTTCTGGAAGGGTGCAACACTGCATTCAGTATTAATCTATATGTAAATTATCCACTGGGATAATGTCAGTGCTGTTTTCAAAATCATTTTCCAATTTTACTCATATTAACGATATGTGGTAGGTGCAACATGTTCCAGTAAGGAAGTGTATTATGTTTTGGTCAGAAAATGTATGCTGTATATGTATATTTATGATATATACGTATATGTAAGATGTATATTTATTTTCATAACTCTGTGCCAAGCCAAACTCCCCAGACGACTGAGTACTGCAACACTATGAATTAACATTCAACTAGTGCTACAAGAGAGTGTGTTAGAGATGCTTAATCTCTTGGGAAAACATCTCTGCTATTACCTACTGACCAGACATTTCTTGGTAATTGCTAATCAGCTTTGTTTTCTTTTTATCTACCCTGCAATTATTGTTCAGGAAAATAGCCAAGAGGTCAATATGGCTTAAGTAGGTATTGGCTCATTTGTTATCTTTTGTGCAGTGTACTGCAGTGAACACATTCCTCTGGAGGTGAAAGACTTAACACTGTTTGACGAATTTATTTACCATGGAACTTGGAACTTGGTTACCCAAGCACAAAGACAAACACAGCTGATGGTGGGAACATTTTGGAGAATAACTTTCAGTGCTTTCTTAAAGCATTATTTTTTGAAAGGATCTATATTTGGTAAACTGTGAACCACCATTTTACTAATGCTTTAGAGAAGAAATGCTTTAGAAAAGTGACCTGGATCTTGGTTCAAATTACTACATATTTAAGATTGTTCAGGGAAATACAGCAGTCTACAGGCAATTAGTTTTTCATTCCTTTCCTGAAAAAAAAAATTATTTTGTGTGTTAATGACCCAGGGGAAAACATTACTTCTTCCCAGAAAAGAAGTGGGATATGATAGAAAAAAAAAACAAACAGCTAGCAGGTATCTCTTACTATCTGTTCACGCAAGTTGATTGTATAGATAGGAGGCAGTGCTACTGTATTTCTTGATTCAAGTGATTGCATCTGAGGTTCTCATTTTTTAAGGAATTTCTTTTGAAAGATAGCATTAACCTTGATCAAAAATAGTTCCTTATTCACGTTTGTCCACACACGTTGCATTAACAATAATGTGTGTATTGCCTACAGTGACATTTAGGATTAATACAGAGGTTACTTGCTGTCATTCAGTGCTGAATGAACAATCTTTTCCTTCTTATCATTTCAGTCTTCACCAAAACCATCTTCTCTGTGCCACTGGTTTTTCAGCTTTGACAGTGCCCTAAGAGTTGCACTGAAATTTGAGCATTCTACAATGTTTTAGTGTGACTTATGGACCACTTGCCTCTCATGTGACGTGCCAGAGGGATGTATAAAGGGGTTGGAGCCAGAATGGAGAATTTGGGGGAAGCAGCCGATGGGCTTCCCAGGCAGAGAAATTTAGGGGCACTGGAGAGGAGTGCAGCTCAGGTAGAGGCCCTGTGGAAAGGGCACCAGTCTGCACGAGCAGCTCTGGATTTTCCAGTGAAGTTGGACTGAGGCTGGTCATGTGAAAACACGCCAGATTTTTCCTTTGACAGGGCATGCTTTTGCCATGCAGTATTTTTTCCATCTAGCCTCGGGTACTGGGTTGCCTGTCAGGCACAAACACACAAGCTTTTTACTCCTATGGATTTCAGCAAGAAGCTAGATGCATACGTCACTTTGCTACTTTAATTTGATGTTTAGAAATAAATAAAACACCACATTATTTTTAAGTAAAAGTTCTCTTTTCTCTTTTTGTTGCTTCATAACAGCTGTTATGCTTTTTGCTTTCTGGCCCACGATAACCACCAGCCATTCTGCTTACACTCATTACCTGAAGGCATTTGAAAACTGTAGCTAGAGAGACATGATTATCTCCTCGTTCATGCTAGGCTTGTCTTTTACAGTGACACAGCAAAAGAAACATTTGCACAGATAATAAAATGTTTATCTAGAGACAGACAGAAACACCACATTCTGGTTGGAGCTCTTGATACAGGACAGATTTACTAGCAACACTGATACAGAACAGGTGATAAAAGGGAACTGCCCTCCCCCTTGTGCAGCCCACACTATTCTTTCCCCAGTGGTATTTGGTTGGTCCTAACAACCTCCTTCGTAATCAGAAGTGGAGAAGCCTCCTGGGTAATAGCAGCAATATTTAGATAAGAATTCTGAGGCAAGAGAAGGCGGGTGTCTTTGCTGGCCTTTAGGACAAGACAAGCTTGTGAAATGTTTAATCAAAGACTCTTGCCATAGCTCTTGAACTAAACAGCTGCCTATTTAGATTTCCTTCAGTTTGGGGGATCAAAGCACTAAAGGGATGCCTAATAACGCAGTACCATATAATCTTTGTTTCAAGAAAACAACAGTGAGCAACTGCATTTTTGTAACCGAGGAACATTAAATATTAAAAGAAAGATGTGTCAATCTGTCAGTGCAAAGTACAGTTTTGAATAGAATGTGCTTTAGCCCTGTCTATCCCACTAGGATTTGTGTTTCATTGTACTTCTCTGGCTTGAAGAAGTCACAAACTTGAAATGTAGAAGAATGTGAATATAGAATAGTAGAATGTGAGAAATAAAGACTCAAAGTTTGTTAAAACTTCCTTTTATTTTGAGATTACTGTTTTAATCTTAAAATGCTAATTTTGATAGCACACAGCTTTGGAATCAGCATCTTTACAAAATGTAGAGAATCCCCATCAATTTGTGTTTCTTTAATTCTGAAATGTAAATCACACAGAAAATCTTATTCTTTCTTCCATTTTTCAATGGAGGGTTTAACAGTGAAGTGCTGCAACAAGATTGCATGTTATAAGGATTCCATTCACAAAATAGATTTATGGCACATTAAATACTTAGTATTCCCATAGAAATGAAAAGTATAATGAGAATGCCTATATAAATACACTGTGCAGCATTTATTATGTGCAAAGAAACGTCTTTGCCATTGTTCATTTATACGCCAGCTTACAAGAGCATCATTAGCACAAATTAATGAGTTTTTACTATATACTTATCTTGTAACAAGCTGAGATATATTTCAGCTGATGTGTTTGAGGCCAATGCAATGAGTTAACTTTCAGCGTCTGGGTTGGTGAGGAATTTTTCAAGCTGTTCTGCAGGGTTGGATCTCTTCTGGCTTGGGATTGCAGGTAGGACAAGGCTTGGTTTCAGAGGCTCTCCTGATAGATTAGGCAAGAAAGAATATAGCAAATGATTGTGAGAATGTCCCCTTTTCTGAGATCTGGAGGGTGGCACTGGTGGGAGAACAACTGCTCCAGTCCTTAGGGAATTTAAAGGCAGGGATATAAACTTCTTAGCACCCTGAGGTGGTAGATGAGCTATAGAAAAGAAAAGAAAAAAAAAAAAAAAAAAAGAAAAAAAAGAAAAAGAAAAGAAAAAAAGAGAACGAGAGCAGAGAAAGTGAGAAGTGGGACATTTTTACAAATAGTAGGTTTGCTTTTTCTTGTGTATATACTTAGACCTGCTTGTCTTGTGTATACTTAGACCCTGCTTTTGAAAGAAGTGATAAAAATGGATTAAAAATGCCTACGGCATTTCAGGTCTAATCGTCAGCTGTAAAAAAGAATTCTAATATCAGGAGATTTACTTATAAATAAGACCAAAAAAGTTCTACTGTTTACTTTTGATTAACATGGAATTCACTGTTTGAAGGATATTTGTTGTGTTCAGAGAGATGAGATATCTTTTCTTCAGAAAACAGGCTGCATGAAACAGAACTCTTTTATGGTAATATATTAGTTTTAACGAAGCTTTTGTGGGAGAATGCTTTATTTTTTTCAAGAGAAATTGCAGAAAAAAATTGTAGGGGGATGAAATGGACACTTGGGACGCTGTGTGGGTTTCTTAGGTACAGTCAGCCATGAATGTAGGACCAAATAAATATATGCTCTGCATGTCACAGGCCACAAAAGCAGCTAGTATCCTCAGCACACTTAAGACTCATACTGAAACATGAGAGCCACAGCTATTGTGTGTTTTGTGTATTACAGGAGTCATGGAAGAAGATGTGGATAAAGCATGTGTAACTTTCAACTTGCAATCAGCACTCTAACAGTGCTGTGCTTTGAACTTAACACAGTTTTATGCCTTCCCTAAATTCATGTCCTCAAGCTGCTTCATTCAGGCAACTTCTTATTTCACAAGTTCTTAAAAGGAGAATTCAAGACCTTAATAACAGACCTATTTTTCTCTACATTTGACTTTATTTTATTCTCAAGCATTTAATTTAAACATTCATTGCACCTTTGTTTTTCATTCTGACCATGTAATGAGTTTCCAACAGGAGTTAATACCATCCCTATTTTGGCTACAGTTTCTTCCTTGCTATTCTTCACATTAATATTTTCCTGATCACTGTCTCAATCCATCAGCATTTTCCTTCCATCTTCATCTGTCATACAGAGGTTATTAATGTTTGCATCTGAGATGTTCTATTTTTTGTTTCATCCTAATAGTCATAGCAGCTTCCAGGAAGTTACGGTGTTTATCTTTTTTGGTGACTTCATCCTTTGAAATAAGCCACAAATGTTTCCTAGCAGTCAGGTACTCACAGCCATTCTGTGATTGGTATCCACTTGTGTCCTGATTCTTAACATGCAGAAAGAATTTCATTATTAAGCAAAAAATGACTTTTTCAGCCTTCTTCAAAAAGATAATTTTCCTGGTGCAAGTAGAAGGAGATTCTACAGAAGTTTCGTAATAATCTTGTGTAATTCCAGAGAAACTTCTGAAGTTAATAGTGATTTAAAATGTTTTAAAAGAGGTTTAAATGAACAAATTTTTATTAGAAATTACAGTCCACATCATCAATTGGTGTGAAATGGGTAACTACTGCAGTCAGTGCACCTATGGTAAGATGGACCTTACAAGTTAATTTTGATCTTAAAATTCTTCCTAAGCAAATTAAACCTTTAATACACTTGATGAACTTACAGACAGAATAATGGATGGAGTGTCTTATGTGCTGTAAATTCAAAAGACAAGAAAACAGGACATAAGAGATTACAGATAAGCTGATGTAACTTTCCTACCTAAAAAATTTCCATGCTAGATGTTTCTCAGAAGTAAGTCTTTGAACATATGATGTCAAACTTCTCACTGCTCATCAAGAAACGTTATAAAGATTCACTGGGACACTGGCACAGAGGATGCAGGAGAAGCGAGAAATTATGTAATTTTAACAAGGAAGAAACACTGACTTTGCCACAAATTTTCAGAATAAGAAAAAGATGCATCCTTTCGACCTGTTGAAAAAGGCTCTTGAGGTGAGAACAGGTTTACAAAGTAAAATTGCCTGGATAAATTGGAAAAATGACAAGAAATTCAGGTAATGAAATTCAGCAAAGGAATATGCAAAATACTTTAGATAGGACATTTAAGACAAATAAATGGAAAAAAAAAAAAAAAAAGAATCCTAAACCACCAAATCAGCAGGAAAAATGGAAATAATTAGCTAGGTAAGTAGCAGTAGCACAGCTAACAGGATGCAGTCTGTGCTCAAGTAAAAAAAATACACTGCGATATTTCAAACAGAAACTCTGAACCTTCCACGCCTCAGTAAAGAGGAAGCACAAAAGTCTTGTCATGCAAGCACTTCTGTATCTGTAGATTTATCAAGTATATAGTTAAGAAATCAGAAATTTACCTCATTGAAGATATGTCTTCAGTGGGCACTGGAAAAATTTTGCATCTACCAATTTTTGTGCTGTACACCTAGGTCACCCTGAAAGTAATGCCTCCTATTTATTTCCATATAAACTACAATGGATATAAACAGCACGATAATGCCATTTGATAGAGCATGTTTTTAGCTTCAAAACACTCATTTTCAACATAGTAACTACCATTAGCTATGCATTTTCACTTGAGATGAAAAGGAGCCTGCATGGAATGCTTGTAAAATAGATACCAGTGGAGATGCCACTGTTTCACAACTGCTGCAATCTCATCGTTGCTAGGACAATGCTGCACATGCAGCTGTTTTTCATTGGCCTGAAAAGATGGAGCTCAGAAGGCACCAAATCTGGACTATAGAGTGGGTGTGGTAGGGCAGTTCAACCAAGACTGGAAATGTGATCCACAGTCTTTACACTCGTATGGGGCCTGGCATTATCATCTTGCAAAGAAAGGTTGTCTTCTTTGGCTTGATTCTGAAAGTTCAAGCCTTCAGCTCAGTCAACTTCATGATGTAGCAATCAGAGTTGGTGTTTGTCTGAGTTTTCCAGGAAATCCAGAAGGCCCAGCCCTTTCCTAGCCCAAAAGGCAAGGCACATCTCTTTACATGCTGAGGCCTGTGTCTTTCTTTTCAATGGGGTATTCATATCTTCTCACTCCTTCGACTGCTATCTTCAGTCTGGCTTGTAGTGGTGACACCACACCTCATCACTGGTAATGATGAGATCTAGGAACCTTCAACCTTGTATTTGTTCAATACGTACTGGCAAACTTGCATGCAGTGTTCTTTGTATTCCTGTGTAAGTATTGTCTGACCCACCACATGCAAATGTTGTGATATTCTACCACTGCCACCATCATTTCCAATGCACTGAAGCAGATATTCAGCTCCACATACAGTTCCCCAATTGTAATCTGCTGCTTTGTGTGGAGGAGCTGATCAAGATGGCTGTCAGGAATGTGGCCTTTCACACTGCTGTTGTCACTGCTGAAATGCACAGCCCACCACCTCACTGTGCTCACATCCACTGTTTGGACTCCATAAATGTTGAGCAAATGTCAATGAATGTCAGTGGCTGCCATTTTTTTCTGCATAGAGGAATTCAAGGGCACTTCCATGTCAGATGCCATTCCGCTGCCATCACTCACTTGGCAACAGAATGGAATGCTGGTGAGAAAGTTCCACTGCTACTGCCACAACACCAACATCTGCCTTTGGTGTTGAGGGCCAACATAGTAAGATAGGAATTACTTTTGGAGCATTCCTTGTACACTGTAAAAGACTAAAGTTCTTACCATCTTCCCTTGTACCGTGTGCCTTATGATCATGTCAATATTTCTTATTTATTTATCAAGACTCATCAGGTATTTAATTGTGGCAAAGCAGAATCTTCACCGAGAGGATTTAATAATTTGGAAGATATTTTTCCATTTCAGACTATTTTCAGTACAGTTCAAATTTTGATTCCTTGGCAGGCAACATTGTATGTGACTTGCCTGGATCTTGGCAGTTTAATTTAATTCACTGACCATATTCAAGGTTCATTCATGTTCAGAAGTTCAGAAAATGGCTTAGTTCCCCTTTATTAGAGAAAAAACAAAAAAGCTTTGCTTTAGTTTATATTGAATTTGCATGAGTCAGAGGTAAACACAAGATGCAAGACCATATGCTGTGTGACACACGGTAGAGTACTTTGTATTCATTGACGTTTTGGCATGAAAGCCAAATGCATAGTGAGAGGATCAGTTGTTTCCCTATGTTCAAGTATTCAATGTTTACATCTGTGTGAAAAATCTCTGGAAAGCTTTATGAACTTGATAAGCCCGTAATGGTAGGGTTAAGTAGGGTGAAAGCTTTATCTTAATTTTACCCCTATGCACTGGGTAGCCATCACAAACCCATCTTCCTTCAATGAAGGGAAAACCAGCATCTAAACATCCATACTGCCCACCTCGTTCTACATACTACACTCAGGACCTTTGGCTTAGGATGTGCTATAGGAATTTCAGGACTAGGTTCACTGATGATTTTGAAATAGTACATATTATGAGAAGTATTATTATTTGTACTGAAACACAGGCTACTGAACCCAGCACTGGAGTCCCTGAGATACAGAACCATTTAGTTGAGTCACCACACTTCCTGAAGTTATATAGAGCAAAAGCACTGGTAATTATTTGTGTTCAGAAGGCAGTCAGCTACCCAGGAATGAATGATACTAAAAGAGCGACTAATTCAGAAAGCCTTTTTCACATGGAAGACACTCTGGACCAGCTGTTGCAAATTGCAGAGACCAGAATAGCACTGTCAGGAAGGCACTGCTGAAGGATTATATGCTATCCAGAAGAAGGGATGCTCTTTGACTCTTTCCCTTTACAAACAGTGAAACATGGTGACCCTCTGTAGGGAGAAAAATGCTTCATGGAATGCTTTGCTGTTAACTTGGGAAAGAAGAAATTCCAAATAATGAAATATAAAAGTAAAAGCAGCTACTAATCCTCAGATAACATTGTTAAATGACCTGCACAAATAGATCTTCCTTTTTTTTTCTTTTGTTTTTTTTTGCTCAACAAGTAATAACCTCACAATGGTTTCAGACCTTTCTTGCCACATGAAGAAGTGAGAGAAACAGAGAGTTCTTTTGAAATATTTCTGTATTTGCTTGGAAAATGGTTCTGGCATGGTGTGAGCAATGTGTAACTGCTTTTAAATGTGTTGTTCAGGGTCCTAGGGAGGGGTGTGTGATGAGGTAGGAAGGATGTTTGGGTGCAAAGTAAGAGATGTCAGTTCATGACAAGGCTACTCAGAAAGATACTTGAAATAACTCTTCGGCCCTGAGAACATCTGCAGTATAGGAGCTTATGGCTTAAAGTCACTGAAATCCACTGCTAATATTGTCCTACTAACTTAAATTTTAAGATGTATTTACTTAAAGGTTAAAACATCTCTTTTTTTTCATTGTCCTTCCTTTTCTAGGAGATGTTTCTTCTTTTTATTTATTTTTGACAAGTTTCAGTTCTCTTTCTAATTTTTGCTTGCTTTATCTTTTCAGTTCCCTGGTTGTTTTTTTGTTTGTTTTTTTTTTTTCCTCTCCACTGGTTTTGTTGCATGCTTTTAGCACACATCTACTGCAATGAAACTAGTAGAAAAACACAAATGTTTGTACTCAAACTTCATTGCTGGAGCCATTTGCCTGAATAATGTCTGTGACTGGAAAAGTAATATTTTTAGGACTGGACGGAGGGTGACTAAAATTTTGGCTCTGACATAGAAATTTGGAAAGCTCCAGGATCAAATAGGTTGTTTATGTTAACAAAGAAGAAACTTAATCTATTTGAAAATAGAATCATAGAATCATGAAATCAGAGAATGGTTTGGGTTGGAAGGGACATTTAGGGTCACCTAGTTCCAACCCCCCTGCTATAGGCAGGGACACTTCCCTCTAAATCAGGTTGGTTAAAGCCCCATCCAGCTTGGCTTTGAATGCTTCCAGGGAGGGGGCATTGACAGCCTTGCTGGGCAACCTGTTCCATTGTCTTACCATCCTCTCAGTAGAATTTCTTCCTAATATCTAGTCTGAATCTACCCTCTTCCAATTTAAACCCTTTTCCCCTTGTCCTGTCTCTATATGCTCTTACAGAAAATCCCTCCCCAGCTTTCCTATAGGTCCCCCTAATCCTAATCCATAGTACTGGAAGGCAGCTGTAAGGTCTCCTTGGAGTCTTCTCTTCTCCAGGCTCAAGAATCCCAGCTCTCTCAGCTTGTTCTCACAGGGGAAGTGCTCCAGCACCCTGATAATCTTCATGGCCCTCCTCTGGACCTGCTCCAACAGCTCAGTGTCCTTTTTGTATTGCGGGGCTATGTAACTGGATGCAGCACTCCAGGTGAGGTCTCATGAGAGCAGAATAGATGGGCCGAATCACCTCCCTCAACCTTCTGGTCATGTTTCTCCTGATGCAACCCAGGATAAGGTTGCCTTCTGCGCTGCAAGCTCACACTGCTGCTCATGATGAATCTTTCATCAATCACCACTCCCAAATCCTTCTCCTCAGAGCTGCTCTCAAGCCATACTCTGCCCAGCCTGTGTCAGTACTTGAGATTGCCCTGATCTGGATGTGGGACCTTACAGCTTGCCTTGTTGAACTTCATGAGCTTGGCAGGGGGGCCCATCTCTCCAACCTGTCCAGGTTCCTTTGGATGGCATCCTTTCCCTCCCGTGTGTCAACTGCACCACTCAGCTTGATGTCATCTGCAAACTTGCTGAGAGTGCACCCAATCCCACTGTCCAAGTTGAAAGCAAAGGTGTTAAATAACACCAGTACCAACTTTGATCCCTCAGGAATACAACTCATCACCCATTCCACTTGGACACTGAGCCATTGACAACAACTCTCTGAATGTGACCATCCAGCCAATTCCTTATCCAGAAAGTGGTCCATCCATCAAATCCATTTTTCTCCAATTTGGCAACAAGAATGTCATATGGGACAATGTGAAATGCTTTGCACAAATCCAGGCACAACTTAAATAACTTTTCTTTTATTATCTTGAATTGTTGTTTGGGCAATAGTGACACTTGTATAAATGTACTTTGTTAGTTCACTATGTGATGATTATTAACTCTAATAAGCAAATCTTATTCGCAGACCATGTTTTCTGGCACGAGACTATAACTAAAATCCCAGTTGTTTGTGTGAGTTTCTACAAAAATACCAGTGATTCCAAAACATTTTTGTTTTTTAGAATTTTGCTTACAACAATATTTTGAGTAGAAGACAGAGAATGTCAGTAGAAAGCTTGAAAACAGAAAGAAAGCTTGGAGCTCAAGTTTCTGAAGCAGTTGAAAGATTTTCTTTCTACCAACGAGGCAGAAATACCACCTCAGTATTCCACAGCCTTTCTCATTTACTGTGCAGCAGCATGGGAGGATTCTGTATTTCCTGTACACAATCTGATGTTCTCTGTAAAGTTACCTCTGCTGTTTCATTTTTAGTAATGTTGTCATAATGCAGTATTGCTTCATAAGCTCAGATCACGAGAGGGAAAGGATTTTATATTTAGCTCTGAAGACTAAATGCTTTAGAATCTGGCTAATCTACAGAATGACAAATAGTAAACTACAAATCCTTATTCAAAATACACTGAGGGATTTGAACACAAGAAAGTGAGGACGTGGAGTAGTGTTTGCATGCAAAGGACATCCCAGTCCCTGGCTAGGTCCAGACTGAGACGCTCACTGAGTCTTGACACTCTGCGTGGGCTGTGAGAGCGGGGTGAGGCATTCCTTGGCCTTTGGGTAGGAGCTGGCTTCTAACTGTATTAGGAATGAGGAGCTGGCTGACACTGCAGAGGAAAAAAGGCTGCTGCTCTCTCTACTCATTTTTTTTTTCCAGTCTTTTTCTCTCCAGTGTTACAGAAGCTTTCCTGAAACCACAGTTTTTAGAATGAGAGAACTGAATGATTCCCACTCTCAAGTAAGAACTAGTCTAATGTTCAGGACAGAGTGGGATCTGTCTTGGAAATTAAGAAGGAACTTCTATTTTGGAAACTTGATTGTCTTGATCTAATCCTCTTCTCTCAAACTTTCAATAGCAAAAGGACACAAGTGCCCATTATGATATTTTTCACACTATCTGTAGAAGGGTCACTGCTTATTTTGGCTTCTGTCTCACATGGCTAACCTTCCTATGGTGTGCGTTTATTAGGGTGTTGTCATCCATCTCTAGTGACTCTTCGCATATTGCAAATCACCTCGTTACATCATGTCCTTCCCTGGTTAAATGCTACCATAGACCAACAGGCAAATGCAACCTTTTCTGATAGTGAAAAATCCCACATTTATGAGATTTCCAGTCTCCTCTGCTCTGGAAAGCAAATGTAGCACCAAACTCTCCTTTCTGTTGGTACAGATCACTTCTATTAGATGAGAACTACAAAATGAAGAGGAGAAAAGAATTGTGATCAACAGTATAAAGTCCATCTGGAAGTGAGCCAGTCAATAGTGAAATAGCCTTGGAGCTGATACAGGGGCCAGTACCGCATAAGATCTTCATTAATGGCTTGGACAATGACACAGAGTGCATCCTCAGCATGTTTGCGAGCAATAAAAAGCCCTGAGGAATGGCTGATACAGCAGGTGGAAGTGCTGCCATTCAGAGAGCCTAGATAAGCTGGAGATGTGGACTGAGAAGGGTCTTGTGATGTTCAGCAAAGTGAAATGCAAAATCCTGCCCTTGGAGATGAATGGCATCCTGCATGCAATACATGCTGGGTGGGATCAGCTGCATGGAAAGCAGCTTGTCAGAAAGGAACATGGTGTCCTGATAGACATCTAGCTGAACAAGAGCCAGCAATATGCCATTCTGGCAAAGACAGGCAACAACAACCCAGGATGTGTTAGGAATTGTAGCCTGCAGGTTGAGGGAGGTGGGGCATCCACAGCTGGAGTACACAGCTCAGTACTGGGGCCCTTGCCACCACAGAGACACAGACAAACTAGATCAAGTCCAGTGAAGGGTAATAGGGATTAAGGGACTGGAGCATCTGATATCAGAGAACAATCTGAAAGAGTGACTTTTTAGCTTTGAGAAGAGAAGGCAGCTCAGAGGAATCTTATGTAAAAGCCTGGCAGGGGGAGGTAAGGAAACGGAGCCAAACTCAGTGACATCCATGACAGGAAAAGACTCAGGGAGCACAGATTTAAATACAGGAAACTCTATTTAAACAGAAGAAGAAACTTTTATTCTGAGGGTGGTGAAACACTTGAAAAAGTTACCCAGAGAGATTGTGCAGTCCCATCACTGGAGATAATCAAAACCTAACTCTGTGGTCCAGAGCAATCTACTGTAGGTAACACTGCTGTGAGCAGGGGCATTGGAGTAGGGATCATCCAGTAATGCCCTTGAGACCACCCATTCTGTGTTGCTGTGAAGAAGGGGAACATGTGAGCTCCCTCAAACCCTCAGGTGCCACTTACGGAGTCACGCAGGGTGATACTGTAGTGAAGGTTTGCATGTACTTACATCTGTGAGCACAGTGGTTGGGTATAGGAGCCAGACTGCTCCTCACAGGAGTAAGTTCTTTTATTTTGGGTTGGTCTATGGATATCTTCTGAAAATTTTTACCTGTGGAAGAAAAATATAATCTATTATTATGTGAAAATAATTGTAAGCAATAAGATGCACAGCAGATCTCTGGTTTCTGGAAAAAAAAAACCCCAAACTTCTAGTAATTCTCAAAAATATGTAATAATAAGAAATCACCAACAGAAAATAACTCTTTACACATTTAAATTATGACTGATTTTTTTATAAGCTTTTCCCTTGCTCTTCTATAGTACAGTAATCGCTGTTCAAACATCCAAATTCCAGTAGCCAGATCTACATTAAGGATATTGGGAAAATAGATAAAGTGATTTTTTACACAAGCAGATAGAGATTGAATAAGGGGGAGTGTTTTTAAACAAAAGGAGAGGAGATTTAGATTAGGTGTTAGGAGGAATTTTTTTATTCATACCATGATGAGGCCCTGGCACAGGCTGCCAAGAGATGCTGTGGGTGCCCCATCCCTGGAGGTGCTCAAAGACAGGCTGGATGTGTCCCTGAGCAGCCTGAGGTGGTGGTGGGGCAGCCCTGCCTGCAGCAGGGGGCTGAAACTAGAAAATCTTTGAAGTCCTTTCCAACCCAACCAGTTCTATACAAATGGAGTTCAACTCCTAGTTGGAAAGTCAGGCTAGTGGTAGTCTACCAGCAGTAAAGATGAGCCTTGAGAGGGTTTTGCTGCAGGCGAAATATAGCAGAACTGACATAAATGGATACAGATTCTTATTAAACAATGCTTTATAGCAATTTGTTTTTATCAAGAAAAATAGATGCTGGGAAATGAAAATGTCTAGTTGTGTTTTTTTTTCACTGGCTATGATTACAACGAACTCTGGTGTTGTACAAAAAGAAAATACAATGTATTAAGTGATATTGTGCATTTCACTTTATAAATGCCACATCAAATATAATAAAAAAAAATAAGTAGGAAATCAACCTACAAGTCAACATTTTTCCCACATCCTTTCCCTGTCTTGATCATATTCTGTGATGTCTGAGTCTCTCAAAATTTTACTTTTTGTTATTCCTAAATCTGAAGTGAGTCTTGTGAGGAGTCTCAAGCTGTCTTGGTATGCTCCTTGCCCAGCATAGCATTGCATCACAGCTCGCTGCAGAACAAGCATATGCTCTGTTGGCATGCAGAGATAAGGGAAGACAGAGAGTGGACAAGATTCTGGTCCAAAGTGGCAGCTGATAAACGTTGGATCACTCCATTGGCTCCTATGTTTAAAGTTAATGTATGCTGGGCTAATGCATGAAGAAAGTAAGTGTTAGAGATTACCAGTGTCTAACACGCTTTGTTCTCCTTTTCTCATGCTTTATTCTTTAGTTACACTTTAATACCTCTCCAAGATAATTGCCGTGTATGTAAAATTAGTAAATGTCTTTTATACAATTGAGTCCTCTGTGCACAAATAAATAAATACATAGATAGCAGAAACTCAAGTCAGCTGCTCCCACTGGCAATTCAAGTTATATTGGTTTTATTGTGATGCTTACTCTGAGAACTAATAGCTTTTTATATATGTACTGTAACTGCCTTGATAAAGGGGAAGTTGTTTTTTCCTGTAAAGGAATATGTTTATTTCATAAACAGGGATATCTGGCAGGAAAACAAAAGTACAAAGCATAATTATGTTTTCAAAACTAATAAAGAAACCCTGTATACAAGTTCTGGCACCAAGAGGAACTATTCTTCTGCTCTTCCTTCCTATATGTTCTACATGATATCTGAGAACAAAAGCTTTTCCTTTTTCAGACATCGTCTTTGTCACTGTAAGTGCATATTTATGATGGCATTTGAAATGGAAAAGAGGTTATTTCTTGATTACAAAATGCAAAATTCTTCACAGGTTGTTCTTTAATTTTAATTTTTGTTTGGATAAATTAACTACATTATCCTCTTTTGTTTGTTTGTTTGTTTGTTTGTTTGTGGTTTTTGTTTTTAAGATGTCTTCTTTTGCCCCTGTCGCTTGGAATATCTTCATTTATAAATTTTTCCAATAAAAAGTAGGTGCTAGTTTGGCAAAAAGGGATAATTGCAATCCTTGGAAGTACAAAATACTTCAGGTAGTGGATGCCAGCTCAGCCATCTGACTCATAATGTCCTCTTCCAATATTGGCAGTAGTTTTTGGTAGAATTCGTCGTTGTTCTCCTCAGCAGATAATAAGACAAACCACGATAGGTAAGTCTCACTCCTAGTCACAACAGCTGCTCCTTTGAATAAGTGTCAGGACTCAGCTACTCAGCTAGTAAATTGACTCATCTTTCATTTCCAGCAGCACAGAAAACAGAAAAAAAAGGCCTCTAGAAATTCCCATCTGTGTGTCAAGTGCCTTAGTAGCAATATGCACAAGAAAGAGCTCTGCCTTTATGGCATGGTCATGCAAGACAGTTAACACTGTGTGTCAGCTGAAAAAATAATTTTTAAATTGAGTTCCCTTAGATTATTGATGCCCATGATCCTCTTCTGGATACTCCATGATTAGAAGACCACGTGGAGCCACCTCAGTCTTGAGAAACAGAGTATCAAGAGTTCAGGGTCCATCAAAGACCAGATGTTGTTTTTCCCTTCAGCTAGGCCTCCTGCAGTAAAAAAGCAATGAGGAAATGTCTTTCTGGGAGAGCTGCCTGCGCAGCGCTGCAGGCTGGGTGGGAGCCAGGCTTACTCTATTCCTGGTCTCTGCAATCCATATAGGCACAGCACTTACGGGTACACTGGAGACCTGGAGGCCCTGAAGCTCATAAAAGCCCTTGTAGCTCTAATTCACAGTGAGGGAGGTAGTTTTAATTACAGGGGCAAATAGATTTAAACCACACACGAGCATGAAAAAGGGTAAGCTGTTCTTTTTATTATGAAAAAAATTTAGCCAGTATCTCAGCTGTGCAGTGCACACCTGCCAAACGTTCTCTTGTTGCACTTGCTTCAGCGGAAGTCCTTCATGCTGTCTGTAGGAATCTTTTCATTGTTAGAAAGTTTTGTTAAAGAGAGCAGGTTGCACACAGTACTGAGGTTGCAGCAGTCTCAGGCTTTTTTTCTTCAGAGGCAGATAATAAACTGCCACAGGCCTGTTCTTTCTTTGGGCATAGAAAAACAACTCCCATTGTAATAATTAGAAGGTAATTGATAGGTTTTTGCTCTCATTCATGCATACAGACTGCTCTTCCTCTATTGAATTGTAGTGCAAAGCATGAAGCCCTGAGTGTTTTCTCAGTCATTTGCCTAGCTGTGTTTTTTTTTGTCATAGTATGTTCGTAGAAAATCATCTTTCCTTCTGTCCACAACAAGCAAGGATTTAATCATATGATATTCTACAGTCATAAGAAAAATCTATAATTGTGTATTAAATACCATGGTAGGTATTTCCCCATAAAATGTATTCATAGTCTAACTGATTTCATCAAGAAATATTCCCCATAATCATCCTCAGATTTAGTTTATCCACCTTAAGCTTATTCCTCCTCCTGCTGAACACATAAATGTTTCATTATATTTAGGTTGTAAGGTAGCCCTGCAGGTTTTCTTGTCTTCTACATGTGAGCTGAAGCTTGCGGACCTCAGCGTAGGATGAATTATGCTGGAACATTCCTTGACAGACATGTGGAGGTTGGGGTTTGTATGGCTGAGTGAACAGCTGAAGAATGTACAGTAAAAAAAGTAGTTATGCCTATTAACCAGGTCTGTTTAGTTTTCAGGAACTTGGCCTGATGTTCAGGAAGTGGAACTTTTTGAATAGCTCCTTTTTATGCTGGAAAACTATTTCCAGCCTCGATTTGCACAATGTAAAATCACCTGAAGTTCTGAAATTGCCTTATCTTCTCTTACTATTAGAAAATTGAATCCAGATTTGCAATTCTACCAATCTCTTCACTTACAAGTTAGTTTGCCGTGCCATGCAGAGCTTGATGGTTACTTGACTTAACCGTGGGCTCCTCTCAGAATGGGTTTCAGTTCTGTTCTCAGCATGTTTGCTAAGAGGAGGTTAGATTGATTTGTTGTGTAATGTTTACTCCTTGTAATGATGTACTGGTAAGTTTGGCAGCTGCTCTTATTTGCTTCATTTTCAGCTGGATATTACAGTGGTTGGAAGGCATGCTAGATGTGTTTAATTTTGGCGTGTGACTAGTCTCAAAGGAAATGAAGTTCAAGAAACTGATATGTTGAAGTGGACTCCAGTGCATATAGGCCATACAGCAAGATTCATTCAAACATAGATATGAGTCAAAGTACTAAATCCCAAACCGCAGTTACAAGCTTCCTTCAGAATTCTGATACTCTGCTTCAATATTGCTACATTATCATTTCCAAACCACAGTATAAAAAGCATTTACTCTCCCTGTAAATTTAGCAACCTGAATTCATCCATAAGGAAACCTAAGCATAGCAGATTGAACCAATGGGCTCTCAGGGCTGGGGAATGGAAAGGGGTGACACTGTGCCCAGGAGTTAGCACATGCCTGTAGGAGGAAATGGGTACACTGCAAAGTCGCCCAGCGTGGCACACATGGGCTTACCTGTTTGCATTGAGAAGCAGCTCCTGGCACAATTAGAGATTCGAATACAGCACAGCTCCCTTGCATATCCAGTTCCAGGGTTAAATACAGACACAAAACAACGTGTGGGCCAGCGCGTATTAACTTGCAATTCATGAAACATGTATGTGATCTGCAGGCACTTAGCTTGCTCAGGTACCTTACATGTTTCTTAACGACTTGTATTTTTGCTGTTAGGCATAATCAGATCTCTGATTCTCATAACTAGAACTCTGATATCTATTCAGATCTCTTATTTCCTATACCTAAGCTTGTTGCTTTTAGCTGTCAGCTGATATTCTATACATACGTTATCTGCAGTTATGACTGCTTAAAATCATGGACTATCCCAAGTTGGAAGGAACCCAGAAGGACCACTGAATCCATTTCCTGCATGTACGAGGAGAAGAAACTGAAAAACACATTAAGTAAGTAGAATTGTCACAGGAGTGACTTATCTATTTTTTTTCTATCTCATCTTTCCATGACAGTAGGAATTATACGATAACAGAGAGATAGAAGAAGGAAATTACCTGATGGAGAACTAGGAAGTGAGGGAAGGTGGGGAGGGCACAAATGCACATGGTGGGATGTATCAGAGTTTAAGCCATTTATCTCTTTGTCTGACGGAGTTCTAGTACAGGCTTTATAGGAGAGTATTTGGTTAGATTTTGTATTCCAAGGCTTATCCAGCAAAGACTGGCAGCTGCTTCTGTGATCCAGCAAGTCATGTTCACTCCTACTCTTTTGAGACTTGTGTGCAAAATGGTGAGTGCTGGTCCTGGAGGACATGCTTGATGTTGTGCTCTGGGCGGCAGTTAGGAAGGAATTGCTGGCAGTGATTGGGGGGAGGCTCTGGGTTCTGATGGGCAGAAGTCCATGACATTCTGCTGGCTTCTTTTCTGGTATAAGGTACTTTGTGTCTGTGGTCCTTCTTTTAAAGTCAGTAGTGGTCACACACTCATCTGGAATGTCTTTGCAGCTTGTATCCACAATGCAATCAAAAGTGGTGATGATGTCGTCTACTTCGGAGGTCTCCTCTGTAGCATATTGGTCTCTGCTTTTGTCTTTCTGAATGGTTTTCTGGTTTTCTTTTTTCTTTTTGCAGAAGATGTGGTTCAGCATACTGAATCTTCCTTCTTTCTTTAGGATTTTATTGTTCTGAGAGGGAAACTGATGAACTAACTCCGATCTACTGAAAGTACAAATCAAAATGTGATGCCATTACTCATCAAATAATTAATCAAATACTGTCTTTGTTAGCCTATGAGATGGGGTACATCCTGTTCAGATACATTTCCAGGGGTGGTTCAAGGAGGCAGAAAATGAAGATTACAAATTCATAGTTAACAAAGACTGATTATGATAGTACATTACTTCACTCTGATAGGGTTTGTTGCCTTACCCTTATGTTAAAGCAAGCTCAGCATAGCTGTCAGGAATAAGAACAAACTTTTCTGGCTTCAGCATCTACCAGCTGCAAACTTATTGTTCTTAATAGTGAAGCAAGATCCAATAATTAGAAGAACACCCTGGAATCTTTAAGACCAAGTGGTCAGTGTATTATGTCATATTCAGAAAATATGATTTCCAGCAGCACAGTCACTGCTAACACTGTGAAAAAGACACTACTTCACATTCTTTTCTTTTCCTTTATTTTCAGTTCTTGCCTTGCCTTGCTTTTATTATCATTATTATTTTTTGAAGTTGCTAACCCATGTACTGAACAGGCCCAGCACAATTCCAGACCTGTCAAGATAATCACCTACAGTGGTGTTGCTGTAGTGATTTTTAGATGAGATTTTGACAAATAAACTTTGCAGGCCTACTCAGAGAAGCAGAGCGCAGCACAGCAGGAGGAGGAGGCAGAGGTGTAGCATTACCCGTGTCTCACCATTCCGTAACACGGGAAATAATACTGACAGCTGACTCGAAAGGAGGGGCAAGCACAAAGAAATGTGATAAGAAGTGTCTTTGTAAGTTTGTGCTCATTTGCCAACATTGAAAAACTGAAATGAATTAAATGACAGCAGTTGAAATCGGAGAAATATGAAGAGAGAGAGGAAAATATAAACAATGGCAGAAGAATTATACTTTTTAATAGCAAAAAAAAAAAAAAAAGGAAACTGGGTAAGAAGAGATAATTGAAGTAGCCAACTAAGGAAGGCAGGAAATTATTTGGAAGCTCTTATTCTGAGGATGAAAACATGAAATTTATTTGACTGTCTGCCTGGCAAAGCTGCTTTTTGTTCAATCCCTTTATCTGATTATATGAATACACAGCTAATGTATATAGATCTCAAAAATGTGGAAAGCGTGCATCTAAACTTTGAAACTATATAGATTTCATGCACAAAGGTGACCGAGAAACATCTATGCCCACATTTTCTTGGTTCAGAACCCTCTGCTGACTGGCATACTAGCACTGTAACCGCAGAGATGAATCTTCAGAAGGTGACTAATTTTAGTGTTGCTATTTTGGTGGAAAATTTGGGTTGTGTATTGCTTGTGAATTGAACCATCACATAGGGCTCAAACCCTTCGGTAGCATACAGAAATAATACTTATAATCACTAATACTTATAATACTTGTATAATACTTATAATACTAATAAACACTATTAATTTATTTTCTAGTCAGTAATAACATGTGAGGAAGATGTGAGCTTCTGCTTTACCTGTTCTCCTGAGACAGCAGCTTAATGCATGCAGTGTGACCACAGTACATTGCATATGTCAGAGGAGTGTTTTCATTGATGTCTCGAGGGCTGCTGTCTATCCCCAGCTCTAGAAGTGTCTTCACACAGTCAGCTTTCCCCGCTGCTGCAGCCCAGTGCAAAGGTGTCCTAGGGAAAAGTGAATATCATTAAAACAGATTAATAAATACACTATTGAAGCTATTAATGACACGATGAGGCGTGTTTTTATACTACTCATCTGGATGCACAACAACCATTTTAAGCAGTTCACAGTAATTTATCCTCCACTGATGTAGCTCCCAGTAAAAGGAGTAAAACCAGAGACCAGCATCTGTCTACATGCATTTATTTAGCTGTAGTAAAGATAGATGTGAGGCTGGCAGTAAATATGAGGCTGGCAGATGCCTATATGTGGTATGAAGTAGCATCAGTTTCATTTCTGGGGTTGTAGAATAGAAGGAGCACCTGAAGTTCTCAGAGCAGAATTTGAAAGAACTCTTTGTGCTGTGCACTGCATAGGGACAAGCCCTTCTCACTCTTAACACTGAACACAGTTAAGAGTGGCTGGCTTATGACTCTCCAGGAAGGTAATAGCAGAAAAAACCTCCCTAGAACAATGAGAAAAGCTGGACATCTACCAGCCTGTAATTTCCCTTTTGATAATTTCTGTGCTCTTTGTTGGGCACAGACTGAACCAAATATAGTTGTCTTGAATTTGGTGGAAGAGTCAAGCTGATTTTCTTGTTGGCAGAGGCTTGCACACCATTGGAAACTTCTGTCCAGTTTCAGAATTGTAGTATTAGACACTTGTAAAATTTCTAAAAGCACAGAAAGCTCCACAAGGAAACTACTAGGTGAAAGAATAAAGATGACTTTTCTATGCCTGTTGCAGTCCCAGTCATTCCAGTTGAATGCAGTAGGAAACATAATAGAATGGAAATATACTATGTATTTATTGTTAACAGCTTATCTTTCCCCCTCTCAAAGTGTGATACCTTCTATGGAAGTAGCTAAGAATGCATGATAGGAGGTTTGTTTTTTTTTTTAACTAAAACTCTTAGGTGTATATAAGCTCCTCCCTTCCTCTTTTCATAGAAACAGAACCTTCTCTCTTACATTTTTCTGATGTTCAGAAATGTCTACAGAACTGTTGATTTTATTTTTGTTCCATTTCATTGGACTTTTCCATAAAGAATGCCATTATTTTAAGTACCTGAAGACCTAAGCCAAGAAAACTGTGGCTTATGCTCCACAGAGCAGGATAGTCAACTCAGAGTGGTCAATTGAGTCTGTTTGCTTTAATGAAATTGGAAGCGAAATTCTGGGGAAGGCCAGCATGGTTTGATACAGGGATTAATGATACAAGGATTTAATCATGGTAAGGATTGAGTGAGAATGGAAGGGATTCCTAATGGTATCTTTTAAGAATACTCTGTTAGCATCTGAACTGTAACAAGGAAATGTTGACATTTCTCGAATGCAAATAGCAGCAGATCACAGCTCCAAGCAGCAGGATCCTGTTCCATTGTTTTGAGAAGAATGTCCATTTTGACTGAAAAGAAGTCTAGTGGTGACAAGGTCCTTTCATACATAATCTTATCATTTCCTACCAGAACCACAAAGTTAAAAAAACATTCATAGTAGCCAGTTGTTATATTCAATGTGATAGATGTGATTCGGACTGCTTTGCGGGGCTTCTGAGCAAACACACCATCTCTGTAAGTGCAGTTCATTAACTAGGCCATGGCCTGTGAAACAGGAAACATGATTATAGAATAAACAGACCTAGTCTCAGGTTAATAGAAAGGAAGCAGCAATTTCAGTTTCAGGGTTTCCATGGTTACCTGTCATCTACATCAAGGGCCTGCAGGTTGCACTCCGGGACTTTAGCCAGCTGGCTGATAATATCACTGTAGCCTGCAGCAGCAGCAATGTGCATACAAGTTTTGCCGTTCTCATCATCATAGTTTATTATTGATGGTCCTTGGTAGTGGTCCAAGATGATGGAACACAGAATCCTGTTGCCAGTCTGGGAGGAAATTCAGAGGAGAAAAGCATTTTACAGTGGAGCTTATATCAAACTGCATTTTCTCTGCTAGAGGAAAGTTAATAAAATGATAGTATTTTGTTTTATGTATACTAGCCTATTTGAATATGAAAACCAAAAGCTTCTAATCTCCTGCTGAGAACAGGATTTTGCTTTATTAATTTCCTAGCTGCAAAAATAATAAATAGTGTATCACTGCAAATATGTCCAAAAGTTACAGGGTGTAAATTGCTCATCGAGTTTCTTTGAAATAGCTTGGGGTTTTATCTGTTTTGCTAAGACAAAGTGTGGAACAATATGAGCTGACATATTTCATAGAAATTCAGGATTGGAAGGGACTTCAAAAAGCTCACTCCTGTAAGCCTGTCCAAGTGTACCCAGACAAGCCATACCAAATATTTGCTTAAGTGGTTCTTGAAAAATTTCTTTGCAAATTTGCTCCAGTGCTTTAATATCATAATAGAAAGTTTACACTGTTCCCTGACACCCAAATAAAACTGAACATTTCACGTCCTATCTCTGTGGAAATAGATTTAAAAGATCCTGATTTTTTAAAATAACAATACGGAAAAATTAATATGGAAAATTCTTCTTAGATCATAAAATTGGTAGCAACACCCCTTCCTAAGCATACTGTGTACATTAAAAGCAATTAGTTTTTTGTTCCCATTCTTCTCAATGCAAGGCAGTTTAAATATTTCTTTGCTTTAATGATTAGTATCTCTGATTTCTCTTCACACTCCTGGTTGATTTATGTCTCTTTGTCTTTGTGCCAGTATTATTATTTAGATTAAATACTTATTTCCTCTAATTATTATTTATTCCTCAGATGTATTTACAATCAACCATTATATCCCTTCTCAGCTATTGTCTTGCTACTCTAATAAACCAAAGCCTTTCTAATTTTGCTTGTAAAATGTTCTATTTCTCTCTACTAACTCTGTCCTTTTATGTTTTAATTGTGTTTCTTTGGGGAGTGATAATTAAAATTGTACCTAGTCATACACAGAATTGTTCTCACGTCTTTGTACCAGCTCGAGCTCTTCCCTTTATCTGTTAGAAGTATCGCTTTTGATATGACACAGAACAACATTTGCTTTATTCACAGCTGTGCCCCATTAGAAGTTCCTAATTGTTTCATATGTCTACTTTCTTATTTTCCACAGACAATTCCAAATGTAGATTTTCCACTTTCTATTAGGAAGTTTTGTTATTATTACCAAAGTACAAGACTTGAATGGTCTACGTATTCAATTTTATCCTATGTGCATTATTTAAGATTTCAAAATGATGTGGCTTTCCTTGTATGATATCTCCATTCTCTCCTGTAAATGTCTTCCTTTCTTTTCTTATTGTCAGATTTCACTGGAAAGGCTCTGTATTTTATGCCAAGTTATCAAAACAGTATTAAGCAAGACAGATTTCAAGGATTATCCATGCCAATATTTTTTTCCAGCCTTGCTTCAACATTAATTATTAATTACTCTTTACTTCCTGATCTTGAAGATATATCTTTGCTTCTCAGTACCTTTTCCCCTTATTTTCAAAAATGTCTGCTTGCTCCAAATACATTGTTGAAATATAGTCAGTCATCCACTTATATCTGAAGCCTCTAATGCATGAAACCTCTATTTTCTTTTCTCCTCTGATATGATGGAGATTCCTGATAAAGTTCTCAGCATTTGAAGAAAAATTTCAGGGTCGTGGAATCTGTAAGCCCCAGAGCTTCTCTGTCCAGCTGAGAATTTTCTTAGTTTATCAAAATGTGTCCCTTTGAAATCAGGAGTTTTGCTTTGTATATGCTTTGCTTACTCACCTATTCAATGTAGAGTACTTATGGTCATGCCATCCAAGTTTATTTTCTATCATCAGGCACTTTATAATATTATTAACCATCTTAAAATTATTCTTAGTATTAATTCTAAGTTGTCTGAATAGTTAATAAAAAAGGAGTATTGGTCTTTATGTCCAGTAACACCTGCATCTCCTTCATAATAACTGTCTTTATTCTCCAGTTGCTATGCTAACTATCAGTTTTTTTCCATACTAAAATAATTCTTGGATACATTTATTTGGCACGTGCATCAGAGAATTCTCTAGTCATGTTCAGGGCTAGCTGAATTTATTAGTCTACTGTATACTTACATAAATTCAAATTTTACATTCGGCACATCAGGTTCAGTCTCTTAATAGTCTTGTACAATTCAACATTTGAATACAAAATTTTTCCACTCTTTTTACCATTGTTTTATCTATTCACACACTATTTTTTCTCCAAGCGATCTTCCATTTTCTAGACTAAGCAAACCATTTCAACCTCTCTTCATGGGTCAGGTTTTTCATACCACTTACATACTTGGTGCTTGCTTTTGGCCTCTTTCCAATTTATCTACAGCCTTCTTCAACGACAGCACTCCAAATTACATAATTATTCCACCATGACTTTCATTCTGCCATGAAAAAAGGAAATTGCCACTTCCTGTACCCCACATGTATTACACTTCCGTTAGTATGTCCAAGAATTATGATTCTTTTTTTCTATCAACACTGTAATTTAAACCCTACTCAATTTGTTATCCACTTTGTTACTCTTCATTTTTTGTATCTTTTGCTTTTCAGAAATCTGTGTGGGGTACTATTTTACTAGTTTCTGTTCATTCCTAAAATTTATCAGAAACATTTTTAATTTTGCATTCTACCAAGCAAATCCACTGTGCTTGGTGCCTATTTGTTTTTACCTTTGGGTTATATACAGGTTTTATATTTCATTACCTTACTAAATAAAAACAGTCTTATCAGAAGTCATTGTGGAAAAGGACCCAGAAGTACTGATAACATGAGGTTGAGTATGAGCAAGCAATGTGCTTTTCCTACTAAAAAGGCTAATGGTGTTCTTAGCTGCACTTGGCACAGTATCAACATGACAAGAGAGGTGATCCACTCTACTCAGCACTGGTGAAACCATTCTTAGTGTACTGTGTCCAGTTCTGGGTCCCCCAGTACAAGACAGACAAGGACATATGGAAAGAATCCAGCAGAGGACCACCAATGTTGTGGAGTACTGTTCCTGTGAGAAAAGGCTGACAGAACAGGGACTCTTCAGCCTGGAGAATAGGAGGATCAGAGAGTAATCTTATCAATGTCTATAAATACCTGAAGGAAGGGTGCCAAGAAGATGAAACTGGGGCTCTTTTCAGTTGTGCTTAGTTCCAGGACAAGAGGCAATGACCACAGACTGGAACACAAGAAATTCATGTTTGAACGTCAGGAAGAAGATCTGTACTGTATGGGCAACTGAACACTGGCATAGGTTTCCCAGATAAGTTGTAAAGATCTACAAAATCCACTTTTACGTCATCTTGGGGAGCCTGCTCTGGGTGGCCCTGCTTGTGCAGGAGTTGGACCAGATGATCTCTGCAGGTCCATCCAACAGTAACCATTCTGGGGTTCTGTGAAGATTTTGTTGGATTATCAATGAGCTGTCCCCCACCAAAGAGTATTTGATCTGTCCTGGATGAGACTGATATGAACTATATAACGTGTAACATAAGTTTCCAAGAGGACTTTGATTATGTTATCCCTTCACATTTTCTCAACTGGGATACCCTATCAAGGTGTTACTTTGATTCACTGACATTCAAACATACTCTATCTAACAGCTGTTTATCTGAGAAAAGCTATTTATCTGAGAAAAACAATAATAGCTTTGAAGATGGCTAATAGCCCTTTGTGCTGTTTTACGTAAGTAGCTCTAGAAGTAATGCCTCCTGTATATTTCCATAGAAACTACAACAGATACAAAGAGCACAATAACACTTCTTGATAGAACAGTTCTAAGCTTCATAACACACTTTTTCAACATAGTCACCACCACTAGCTACGCATTTATGCTTAAGATGAACAAGAGCTTGAATTCTGCAGTTGTAAAGATCTGCGCCAGGAGAGGTGACCCACTGTTTCACAGGTGCTATGGTGGCATCACTGCTGTACAGTGCTGCACACACAGTAAGCTGAAGAGATGAAAGTCAGAAGGTGCCAAATATAGACTATATGATATGTGTGGTAGCACAGTCCAGCCAAGACTGAAAATATGATCCACAGTCTTCATGCTGGCACGTTGCTTGGCATTATTATCTTGCAAGACAAAGGTCTTCTTCTCTGGCCTGACTCTGGAAGTTCAAGCTTTCAGCTTAGTCAACATCATGATGTAGCAGTCAGAGGCAATGGTTTGTCCAGATTCCAGGGAATCCAAAAGGATTAGTCTTTTCCTATCCCAAAAGACAGAGCACATTAATTCACCCTCTGAAGTTTGCATCTTGAAATTTTTCTTCAAAAGAGAATTCACATGTTGCCATTCCTTGCACTGCTGTTTTGACTCTGGCTCCTAGTGGTAACCCCACATCTCATCGCCAGTAGTGATATAATCTAGAAAATTGCCACTTTGAGCCCTGCATTTGTTCAACAGGTCCTGACAAACTTGCATAAGGTGTCCTTTCTATTTCTGTGTGAACATCCATAGGTACCAACTAGCCCAAGCTTTGTGGTATTCCAGCATTGCCACCATAATTTCCAATGCACTGTAGCTGATATTCAGCTCTTTACACAGTTCCAAGGTCATAATTGCCTGATTCACGTGGATGAGCTGATCAAGATGCTCTGCATTTTGTGGTGAGACATTTGTGCATAGCCACCCAGAATGCAGTCTGTCTTTCATATTGCTATCATCACTATATGGGGGAATTCAATTACACACCTTTGCTTCATGTGCACTTCCATGTTAGATGCCATTCTGTCAGACTGCTCCTCTGCTTCCATCTGTCATGTAAAAACGAAGTGTAAGAGAATATGGATGGGAAGATTCAGCCTCTATTGCCATAACACCAACATCCACTTCTGATGTTGTAGACCACCGTAATAAATTAGGCACTATTTTCAGAACAGGCATCATAAAATTCAATTTTTTTTTCTTTTTTTTTCTTTTC